CCCCCTAGTGTGTTTGTGGTGTTTCACTGCACGGATGGGTTAAATGAGGAGGTCTAATTCCTCTGTGTGGTCAATGGTTCTTAATTCTAAATATGTGCCAGAGAACTGTGTCCTTCTTTTCCATGGTAACGAAGGATCCAACGGGTGGATCCTTTGGCAGCCAACACATTCCAAGGTTCATTGCGTGCCGGCAATTGCTCACGAGTCGGATCTGGCCAACAGGCCGCAATTTGATGATCTCTTCACTACAGCTTTGCCTATCAAAACAACAGTAAAGGTCAATCGGTTGGTCAACATACATGATCTTGCCTTCTTGGCAAGATCTCAGGCATTACGGCATAAAACGCAGAGGAGAGGTTGAGGAAGGAAAGAAGGAAGGAGGAGTAGGAGGAGGAGGACGGCATGGATGAGTGACTCGGGCCTTTATGAAGGGGAGGAGAAGCTCGCAATGAAAGAGCAGCAGTGCATAAGAGAGATGGGATGATAGAGGAAGAGAAAGACAGATACATAGAGCAAAGAAAAGGGTTGGGGGGGGATTTTGTATACAACAAAGAGGATCTCTGTCCATGGTGGTGTCTGGTGTCCCTTCCTCTGGGATTGAGAGTGAGTGTGTTTGTGTGTGTGTGTGTTTTGATATGTGAGCGGGAACAGGGAGTGGCTGTATCACATACACACAAACCCAGCATGTATACTGGAACACAACTCTGTAACACAGTGTGCCTAATGTGCATCCAAAGGCCTGTATAGACGAAATCGTCTGCACATATTTAAAAGTTCAACATTAAATTAATACATTTCGTCTTGTTCTGAGTGACCTGAGCTAATCTGCAGGGATATTTTTCCATACATTCAGTCTTAGAAGTTGGTTTAGCATTTCCTGCGTTTAACAATCCATGTAATCCCAAACGCATTCAGTGAAGTTGAGGTCTGGACTCTGGGGTGGTCAGTCCATTGTTCTGAGAACAACAGCAGCTTCCGTTTCTCAGTAATGTCTTCTCAAAGTGGAAAGCTTTAAAGGGGAATTCCACAGATTTTTCCAATAATTAGATGGTTAAGATGCAGTCAAAGTGGTTTGCTGTTCTAGGAAAATGTACTCAGTCAGAATTGTTCACAGTGGTGGTGAACCAGACGTCTGGAAAGCATAATGCCTTTAAAAACTGCCTTATTACGGAAAATGGTTATGAATATGTTGCCTGATGACTGAGACATTGTTTTATGATAGTTTTGATTGGGATTAATCATCCTCTAGTCCTTCATCAGTGGTCACAGGACGCTGTTGGCTGGATATTTTTGGTTGGTGGACTATTCTGAGTCCAGCAAAGACACTGAGGTGTTTAAAAACTCCAGCAGCACTGCTGTGTCTGATCCACTCAGACCAGCACAACACACACTAACACACCACCACCACGTCAGTGTTACTGCAGTGCTGAGAATGATCCACCACCCAAATAGTACCTGCTCTGTGAGGGTCCATGGGGGTCCTGACCACTGAAGAACAGGGTAAAAGGGGGCTAACAAAGTATCAGAGAAACAGATGGACTACAGTCTCTAACTGTAGAACTACAAAGTGCACCTGTATAGTAAGTGGAGCTGATAAAATGGACAATGAGCGTAGAAACAAGGAGGTGGTCATAATGTTATGCCTGATCGGTGTATATTAACAGTACAGAAGCGCGGCGTGTTTAGAAGGTTACAAGAGATTCTGCTGGATGAATGTAGCTTGTTCCACCGAGGCAGAACCACATACAAGAAATGTTTGGAGCTAGACTGCTGAATATCATCCAGTTCCGCCACCCTCTACCCCCGTTTGTCCTGAATCAATAGCTCTCTTTTCACTGGCCAACCCCCAAAACACCCGAGTTACGCCTCTGTTCCCCTCATGGCCAGAATATCTGATGATCCTCAATGTGCCCGTCCATCTGTCAAGCTGAACAGCCCCCACGTCCCATAGCCCCGGGCCGGGCCTGGCTCTTTTAGACTCCACCCCTCACCGTCCCATCTCCGACCCTTGCCCCAGTTTAATGGCCATTAGGCCCGACAGAAACAAAGTGTGTTTATTATAGCTTCCAATTGAATCACGTCTAATTCAATCTACAGGAACATTTCTCAGTCTGCCAGCGAGCCGCGCTCACCGTCGCAGGATGGGGGACCGAAAAAGCAGTCATGGCTATAACGTTGTTTTCTCCAGACCCATTCAGATTGCCTGAAGCCTAATGTTGCTTTCAATTGCTAATTTAGAGTCAATTTCAGGAACATTCTCCGAAGATTAAGCGTAATAGACTGAACAGAGGTAACTAGATTTAAGATTTTCTATCTCGGGCACTACTATGGTTAAGGATACGTATTTGTAATAACAACTCATAGAACCATTTGAATGTTTAAATGGTCCATTTTTCATACATCACTGGGCAAAACGGCCATTAAGTAAAAGCTATTCGTTTTTCAGGATATATTTCTAATGAGATTTGATGAAAACACTTGTCAACAGAGTTTCCAAAATTGGAGTTCATAAAAAGATTACTCCTAACAACCACCTGGAAGACCTGGTAGACCACCAAAACTGCCCCCATCAGATAAACAGCACTTAAAGCTTTCATCTCTGAGAGAGAGGAGAAAATCAAGCTGCTTCAGATCTGAAAACATCCACAGGTGTTTCTGTCCATCCTTCCACTGTGAGAAGACGACTCAGCGCTGTGGGTCTGAAAGGATGTGGAGCTGTCAAGAAGAACCTCACTGAGAAAAGGAGACGGACACATCAAACAAAGAAGCTGAACGATGGACTGACCACCCCAGAGTCCAGACCTCAACACCACTGAATGTGTTTGATTACTTTAGAAAATGATCAACCAGCTTCTAAGACTGAACTTTGGAGGTGTGTCTGCAGATTCTTTGAGAAGCTAGAAGTGAGTCTCCTGAAAAGAATGGAAGCTGGAATAAAGACAAAAAGTGGACACTAAATACTGGCAAATTTGCTATTTATTTGTTGAAGCTTCTGTGTAATTTCATATTAAATATGTTTCTGCTTTTTTCCCCTGACTGCAAAAAAAACTTTTCAATAATATAAAACCAGTATGGTGGCAGATAAATGTTTAAAATAAAATTATTCTAATACGCTAGTCCTGTGCAAATTCACAGACTTATATCATTAGAAAATAATTAAATAAATAATTATAATCATTAATAGGAAGCTGCTAAGAATTTGAATGTGTCTGGAATGATGAACAGACTACATGAAGTTATATTAAAATTAATTGTTTTTCAAAGGTAACAACATAACTTCCCATAACTTGACAAACTGTTCTATAAACTGAATTTCTTGTTGTTGACAAAATATGTGAAATGTTGCATATTTAAAGGTATTTTTTGTTGTCTTGTTATTATTTTTTTTAATCTGGATCATTTAGGTTGTTACTGTATAAAATGTATTCAGGTGAAAGTGACTCTTAACTGATGAACAGTAATGTGCGGATTTGCCTATATTTTGCTCTTAGCTCTGTCCCCATTATTTTGGGCCTAAGCTGAAAAACAGTTTGACCTTTTGGTCTTTTGTCTTTAACCTTGAAAATTTCCGTCTGGACACTGAAATTGACTTGACCTTGCAGCTTATTGATTTTCTCGTACATGAGCATAATATTGTGTTACACGTTCATATAGAGGGACAAATATCAAAGACCAGATTCAGAGAAGCAGAACACAGTTTGAGAGACTTTGTTCTTACTAATATAATCGCTATATTCTTTATCAGAAACGCCTACCTTGTACTTCTGCTCACTGGCCATATTATTAGAAACACCTACCTTGTATGTCCTCTAACTGACCACTGTATTAGAAACACTTACTTTCTTTGTCCACTCACTGGTCACTTTATTAGAAACACCCACCTTGTACTTCCACTCGCTGGTCACTGGTTTATTAGAAACACTGACCCTGTATGTCCAATCCCTGGCCACTTTATTAGAAACACCTACATTATACTTCCACTCACTGGCCACTTTATTAGAAACACTTGTATGACCCTGTATGTCCACTCCCTGGCCACTTTATTAGAAACACTTAGCTTGTACTTCCACTCCCCGGCCACTTTATTAGAAACACCTACCATGTACATCCTCTTACGGTCCACTTTATTAGAAACACCTACCATGTACGTTCTCTAACTGACCACTTTAATAGAAACACCTACTTTCTTTGTCCACTCACTGGTCACTTTATTAGAAACACCCACCTTGTACTTCCACTCGCTGGTCACTGGTTTATTAGAAACACTGACCCTGTATGTCCAATCCCTGGCCACTTTATTAGAAACACCTACATTATACTTCCACTCACTGGCCACTTTATTAGAAACACTTGTATGACCCTGTATGTCCACTCCCTGGCCACTTTATTAGAAACACTTAGCTTGTACTTCCACTCCCCGGCCACTTTATTAGAAACACCTACCATGTACATCCTCTTACGGTCCACTTTATTAGAAACACCTACCATGTACGTTCTCTAACTGACCACTTTAATAGAAACACCTACTTTCTTTGTCCACTCACTGGTCACTTTATTAGAAACACCCACCTTGTACTTCCACTCGCTGGTCACTTTATTAGAAACAGTGACCCTGTATGTCCACTCCCTGGCCACTTTATTAGAAACACCTACCTTGTACTTGCACTCAGTGGCCACTTTATTAGAAACACCCACCTTGTACATCCTCTAACTGACCACTTTATTAGAAACACCTACTTTGTACTTCTACTCACTGGCCACTTTATTAGAAACACCTCCCTCGTGTGTCCTCTAACTGGCCACTTTATTAGAAACACCCACCTTGTAGGTACCTCATAACTCAATATTGTAGTATGTACATTTACACACTCTGGTCGCTCTATCGCTGCACAGTTTATCAACCACCCCTACCCAATTCATTATTGGCCAGTTCTGACCAAAGCTGATAACTATTAAAAGCACTTCACACATGACACCTTATTTGTATGTTCCTCTTACAGCAGATGGGAACCTTTCAAACCCCTCGAGCTCTCCTCTCTCACCGGTAGAGCTGTCCCCCATCACCCTTACTGATGACTTCACCCTGGACGAGCCAACAGATAGGATCATGGATAGCACGCCAACAGCCAATCCCCAGGAGGTGAGACCGGGCCTCCGGCTTGGCGACAACCTCATCCCCTTGTATGTGTCCATCCTGCCCGCTGTGGTGCTCGGTGTCGTGGCTTTCATCATCTTCAAACGGTGAGGAAAGAGGCCAAATGCGCATGCCTTATAATGCCTTATAAATACATGTACACCGGTCAGGCATCACACAATGACCACAGCCTTGTTTCTACACTCATTGTCCATTTTATCAGCTCCACTTACTATATAAGTGCACTTTGTAGTTCTACAGTTACAGACTGTAGTCCATCTGTTTCTCTGCATACTTTGTTAGCCCCCTTTTACCCTGTTCTTCAGTGGTCAGGACCCCCATGGACCCTCACAGAGCAGGTACTATTTGGGTGGTGGATCATTCTCAGCACTGCAGTAACACTGACGTGGTGGTGGTGTGTTAGTGTGTGTTGTGCTGGTCTAAGTGGATCAGACACAGCAGTGCTGCTGGAGTTTTTAATCACCTCAGTGTCACTGCTGGACTGAGAATAGTCCACCAACCAAAAATATCCAGCCAACAGCGTCCTGTGGGCAGCGTCCTGTGTGACCACTGATGAAGGACTAGAGGATGACCAACACAAACTGTGCAGCAGGGGATGAGCTATCGTCTCTGACTTTACATCTACAAGGTGGACTGACAAGGTAGGAGTGTCTAATAGAGTGGACAGTGAGTGGACACAGTGTTAAAAAAATAGTACCTGCTCTGTGAGGGTCCATGGGGGTCCTGACCACTGAAGAACAGGGTAAAAGGGGGCTAACAAAGTATGCAGAGAAACAGATGGACTACAGTCTGTAACTGTAGAACTACAACATGCACCTATATAGTAAGTGGAGCTGATAAAATGGACAATGAGCGTAGAAACAAGCAGGTGGTCATAGTGTTATGCCTGATCGGTGTATTATCATTATGAATACAGGATTCATAGGAAGTGCCACCATTATAATTCAATAGTCATGCTTGGAACTGCTTGTAAGCACAACCAAGCAGTAGAAGGAAAAAGTGAAGGTCAGACCTTTTCATTAGACACAATATTTCAGGAAATGGTGTGATATTCAAGAAAAAGCTTTTAACATCCTGAATGGTGGGGCAGCCAGCCAAGCCCCTCTCTTCTCAGCTATTACTCAGAGAGAGAGAGAGAGAGAGAGAGAGAGAGAGAGAAATCTGAGACACGTCACATGTGCCTTGTTCATTATATACAGTAAGGTGAGAAAAGGGAGAGCAGCTTGTTTTATCTGATCTGAAATCAGAAGGCTTCCTGTCATTCCTGCCACTTTAACAGAGGCTGCTCTGTCGGAAAAGTTGGAGCTACTTGCTCTGCTCCCAACCCAGAGGATCATAAGATATTCATTTCTCAAACACCAGCGGGCCACTCTATTTTTAAACAAGATCATCTGGTTCATCTCAACTCCAGGCTGCTGCTTCCAAATACGCCCCCCCGACCCCCCCTCCATGATTGTGATTGTGTACAGTATGTTTTGGATCTCTGCCGCAACGTCACCCATCTTTGTCAGTGAGCTCTGACATATTAGCTTTCTTAACTGTGAAAGAGTGGTATGTCTGCTTCTGTTTTGTCTTTTGCAGTCTTAACCCTCTTCTGCACGCATTATGAGAGCAATTGAAAAAAAATTTAATTCACTTTTCTTGAATAAAATCGACCTGATTATTGAATTCGAAAACATTTTTAAATAATAATGTGTGCAGGGATCCTTTTAGGGTGTGTTGCCCTGAGGCAACATTTTGCGACAATGGGAAGAAATGATATAAAGTCGTGATTCCTGAAGTGGTGAGATCTGGCATGTAATGCTGATTTCCTTGTAAAGCTGCTTTGTGACAACACCTGTTGTAAAAAACGCTATATAAATAAACTTTGCCTGCTTGCTTGCATGTGACTGGCTGAATCCATTCCACTGCCCTACAATGTTGCTTTAAGGCAACAAACATACATCTGAAAATTCTGATAAAAAAAAAAAAACAAAAATAATATAATAAACAATATTGAATATGAACTGACCTCTATCTGACCTCTTTATTAGAAACACCTACCTTGTACTTCCACTCAGTGGCCACTTTATTAGAAACTCCTACCTTTTACTTCCCCTCACTGCCCTATTTATTAGAAACACCAGGGTTGTACTTTTACTCACTGGCCACTTTATTAGAAATACCTACCTTTTACTTCCACTCAGTAGGTGTACAAGGTAGGTGTTCTTGCATAAAATCGATCTGATTATTAAATTCAAAAACATTTTTAAATAATAACATGCGCAGGGGTCCTTTTGGGGTATGTTGCCCTGAGGCAACATTGTGCGACAATGGGAAGAAATGATATAAAGCCGTGTTCCCTGAAATGGTGAGATCTGGCATGTTACTGGCTGAATCCATTCCACTGCCCTACAGTGTTGCTTTAAGGCAACAAACATACATCTGCAAATTCTCTTAAAAAAAAACTTTATTGAATATTAAAAAAGAGGTTTAATAGTATGAGATAGTATGACCAAATACATGCTTTTTATTTACTCACTTGAACTCTTCCTTTTATTATTAACACTGCCATTGTCATTAAATATGTGTATTGTTAGTGTAAAGTAAGTAAAATGGGTTTGTTGCCTAGAGGCAACGTCATGCAATAGAGGGTTAAAACAATAGTTTGGTGAAGTATTTTAAATTCAGTTTTCTCTCTTACTCCAAATATAGTTGGTCAGGCAAAACATGTTGTCAGGTAATAATTAAAGCAAGCAGTTTTCATAATGGTAATTGGTGAGTTATACATCAATGGGCCAAAACATTATGACCACTCACAGAAGAAACGAATAATGTTATCTCGTAACGATGGTGCATGTCAAGGTCTCAGATGTATTAGATGTTAAGCAAACAGCCAGTACTCATAGTCGACATGTTGAATGTGGGACAAATGGGCAGGCATGACCTGGGAAACTGTGACAAGGGCCAAAATGCTATGGCCAGATGGCTGGGTCGGAGAATCTACGAAACGGCATGGCTTGTGGGGTGCTCCTGGTCAGCAGTGCTGAGTACCTACCGACAGTGGAAAGACAAGACAAACCATGAACCGATGACAAGGTGTTGGGTGCCCATCGATGTGCAAGAGCAACAGAGGCTATCCCGTCTGGTCTGAAGCGACAGAAAGGCTACTGTGGCACCAGTTTTTTTAACGATGGTAATGGGAAGAATGTGTCACAACACACAGTCCAACCCTGTTGCGTATGGGGCTGTGTAGCCACAGTCCAGTCAGAGTGGAAGAAGGTTGCCTGGTCTAATGAGCTCCGTTTCCTTTTACAACACATGGACAACCGGGTACATGTGTGCCGTTTACCTGGGGATGTGATGGTCCCAGGATGCACTGTGGGAAGAAGGCAACCTGGGGAAGGCAGGGTGAAGCTCTGGGCAGTGTTGTGGGTCTGGACATTTATGTGGACATCAATTTGTCACCTTCCTAAACATGGTTGTGGACCAGGTACACCCCTTCGTGGCAATGGTTCCCTGATGGCAGTGGGCTCTTTCAGCAGGATAATGCAACCTGCCACACTGTACACATTGTTCGAGAATGGTTTGAGGATCATGAAGAGTTTGATGTGTTGTTCTGGCCTCCAATTCCACAGATCTCAATCCGATCAGGCATCTGTGGGACTTGCTGGATCACAGTCCGACCTGTGGTGGGTCCACTTTGCAAGTTACAGGACTTAAAGGATCAGCTGCTAACATCTTAGTGCCAGTTACCACAGGGCACCTTCAGAGATCTTGCAGGGCCTATGCCTCAGCAAGTCAGAGCGGTTTTGGTGACGTTGCAGATTATTAGGTCCATTACGGTCGTAATGTTTCGGCTCATCAGTGTAAGCTTCCACTACTTGGTAGCTACATTAGTGCCAATGCAAAACTAAAGAAGCAAACTTCAGACACTAAACATGGCTCAGCTGTTTGACCACTTTTAAGGCAAGGGGGAAATTATGTACATATTAGGGCTGGCCCAAATAATTCGTGTTGACTCTTTTCATTAGACTGTTTTAGGGACTGTTATCGATCGCTGATCGCCTTTCAGCACGATCAGCCGATAGCCAATACTGATCGAGGGTGGGCCAGGGTGCTGCATTTATCGATTGTTTAGTGATTCTCAACAGCAAAACAAATACACTATGTTCGGTGCTCCTTCAGAACCTCTGCCCCCCAAATTCATGGGTGGCAATAAATGGTCTTAAATGTTGGAGTTAATGTAGAACTGCTAATTCACCCTTTAACCCTGAAGGTTGGTGCGCAGACTGCTGGTCACTCATCTAGCTAACAGCTAACCAAAAGGCAAAGAGAAAGATTTAAGCTGAACCATTTGAGGTGGAACGGGAAAATTCCTACAAGAAGCTGGCAAATTACAAGCTGACGTCAGCCTGATAAAAAATGTAACGTTGAGAGGCCTTTTTTATAAGAAACTGGTTTACTTTTGAGGAAAAGTTTCCTGCCAGAGATGCGAGAAAAGCAGCTATAGCTGAGCCAAATCTTAAAGCAGAGCAAAGTAAGTCTGGCCCAAATAATTCCTGTGGACTCCTTTTTTATTAGACCTTTAAAAAATAATTCTGCATAATTAAATGAATAAGATGTAAGTAAAGTGATTCCGAGTGGTTGCTTTGTTCTAGAGTGTTTAGAGTGGTGATGAACATAGACATGCAAAGAGTTTAATACCGTAGTGTCCCATCTTATATGCAAAGCACTGGTGTGGCATGTTTTCATTCCAGAGAAGCAGGATATCAGCAGGATGTCACATGACCACAATTGTTTGACTGAAACTTTTTGACTGAAGAAGTGGAATCAGGTGTACTCCAGCTTGTTCAGAAAAAAAAACCTGTAGCCACGCTGACCCTTTGCAGAGAACGTTGGACAGCCCTGGTTTAGTACCTATAAAAGCTCCCTCACTGAAAGGTGTTAATTAAGTGATTATAAATATGTTGATTGATGCCTGAGACATTGTATAATGGTGATTTTGCAATACAATTTTGGCCTAAAACATATTTATTTTTAAATGCTGACATGGCAGAGAGGTACATACAGGGCTTTCTACGGCAAAATAGTACCAAAAAACTCAGATTTACCACTATTTTACCATTAAATATGGAGTGATGTGAAAAGAGTACATACTTGAGTAGTAGTTCATTCAGGCCTAGATCATCACATGGGCTTTATGGGTGCATGCCCGGGGGCATATCTATTAGGGGGCCCTTGCAAGCAATTATGCGAAAATCTGAACAACTGGATGGAATGGATTTCATGTCCAATTATTACAAAAGAACAAAACAAATTATAAAAAAAATATAATTATAAAATTATAATTATAAAAAAAAAGAACAAAGACCCAAAATAAAAAAAAATAAATAAACACCAAAATATTGCAAAAAGAGTTTTAGCGACCCTACAGAAGGTCAGATTATGGTGCATAGCTTTTTGAAGGTTGCTTTCAACATTTTGAAATGTCTAATCAAAGCTCGTTTGAAAAACGGCTCTGCTTCACAGTGTGCTTCCAGAAATGTCTGGTGCGTTGCGTGGACATAACTGAAGTCAGTTTCTCTTGAATTTTCTCATTCCGCCTTAAATGCTGTAGCAGTTACATTCTGGCGCGTCAGACACCATTTAAGGTGGAACTGGAAAATTTGAAAAGTGGAAATTTGAAAAGTTGGCGAATGAGAAGCGACTTCAGCTTTGTAAAAATCGAATGTTGAGAGACATTTTACAAGAAACTGTTCTACTTTTGTGGAAAAGTTTCCTGCCAGAGATGCAAGAAAAGCAGCTGTAGCTGAACTAAAGCTTAAAGCAGAGCAAAGTAAGTCTGTGTTTTAGTTTACATTATGTTTTTAGCCTATATTAGCACATCAGCACATACTGAGACATATTTACAGCCAAGGTGGTAAAATAGAAATAAAAATGTTGATCCAGGCCCTAGTAAATGTTTTCCATCAAACTATCACTATAACTATAACAAATTTTGTCAAGTGGACATGAAAGGGAAAGAGACTGGCCTTCAGTAGAGACGGTCTGTTAGCCTTCAAACAGAGCATGCATGACAGGGTGGGTGGGGGCATGAAATATTTAAAAGCGTGCTTGGAGGGCGTGTCATTGACCCACTTCCAGTGCATGAGCAGGAAAGGCAGAGTGTGTATTGATCTGGTGAACCAGGCTAAAATATCACGTTCGCAAATTATAATCTCATATGAACAGAGAAAAGCACAGGCTGGGCGATGAGGACCTGTATACAAATGAAGGGGACAACAGGGGCCTGTCTCATTAATCACATTCAGAAGTGCGACATCTGTGACGAGCAGCTGATCTATCTGAGTAATAAATGCTTATATTCTTCTTAAAACCTTGTATCTCCAAAACAGCAACTTTACAGGAGAAGGGAAAAACCTTCGTAACTTTGAATGGCAGTTAATGGAACCAGACGTTTTTCCAAGTCACTTCAGAGCATTTCTGTTGGTCTGTTTATGATGAGATTTTAACACAATGTAAAGGGCAGCTGGTCTTTTCAGACAATGTCAAAAATGAAAAACGACATGGTTTCGTCCCAAAAGTGAAAATATCTATGTATTATGTTTTGCTGAAAAGCAATATTTTTCAGGACGGCCCAAGAAAAAAATAGTCACCCGAAAAGGGCCTGATTCTGATCTGATTGGTCAGAAGCTTTGCCCTGATTGGTCGCTCTCAATGTCCCCTTAAAAACAATAATGTTTGCATTTTCTATTAAGCTTTCTATTAAACTTCATGTATTTTCAGCTAAAGTGGTTAGCTAACCTGCTATCTCTGTTTCCATCTATGTGAAAGTGTTCTAGTTGTTACTTGACTATGATATGATTTTTAAAGCCACATCCAACATTAAATAATTTCCTCCTAGTTTTAGGATTAAATGTTTGTTTCATCTGATTTTAATTTTATTCAGGATATTAATTCAATTATAATTTATTCTAGGTATTAATTTAATTATAATTTTATTCTAGATATTCATTTAATGATAATTTTATTCTAGATATTAATTTATTAGAACATCATGCTGGATATTAATTTTATTATACCTTTCTGCATATTAATTTTATTAGAACTTCAGTCTGAATACTAATTTGATCTTAATTTTATTCAGGAAATTAATTTTATTATACTTTCATTCTGGACATAAATATTATTGTAACTTCATTATGGACTTTATTTTTATTAGAACTTCCTTTTGGATATTAGTTTTATTATAATTTCATTCTAGATAATAATTGTATTGAAACGCCATTCTGGATATTGTTTTTATTAGAACTTCATTCTAGATAAGAATTTTATTAGAACACCATTCTGAATATTAGTTTTACTAGAACTGAATTTTTGAATATTAACTTTGAATATTACTATTTCACCCTAGATGTAATTTTTTTATAACTTCATTCTAGTTATTCATTTTATGAAAAATGTATTCTGTATATTAATTTTATCAGAACTTCATTCTGGATATTAATTTGATTATAATTTCTGAATCATTGAATTCCAGATATTGTTATTTTTAAAACTTTGTTCTGGATATGAGTTCTTTTGGGGTCTAAAGTGAGGAAACAAAGACCAGCATAATACACGATTACAACACCTAGCAGTTCTCCTGGATAATGCATGTCTCCTAACCACAGGCTGGACTTTTTCCTGGAACCTTCCTCACAGTGCTCCTACATGTTGTTTGTGTGTGGTGCAGGTGGAACAGCTGCAAACACAACAAACAGGACAGCAGCAACCGATCAGGCACAGCCAACCCCAGCCAGACGCCCTCGCCCGAGGGAGAGAAGCTGCACAGCGACAGTGGCATCTCAGTGGACAGCCAGAGCCTACAGGAGGGTCAGGGACTTCCACACACAGGTATACACAAACATGGACATCACAGACCTATTCACTATACAAACCCAGACTCAGAGGGGTTTGCCTGACTGCTATAGCTCCACAGTTAAAGGGGGAATTCCACTGCTTTGTCTGCCTTTTTGTAAAATTTAGTGGTTGAGATGTAAACAGAGTCATTCAGAGTGTTTTGGTGTGAAATGGTTCGTTGTACAGACTCAGATTTCTTTACAGTGGAGGTGAATGGAACCAGACGTCTTAAGAGTTTAATGCCTTCAAAAGCTCCTCAATGGAAAGATATTGTATGAAATGGTTATGAATTTGCTGCCTGATGTCTGGGACGTTGTTTTATGGCACTTTTGTCATAAGATTTTGGTCCAAATCACATTTTTCTTAAAGTAGAGAAGAACATAGTCCCCAAAGAAAACTTTTTTTTTTTCAGATTTTCCACTATTTTACCATCATCAGCATTCCATATATAAACTCAGAAGACATGTAGGTTCAATGGTGGTTTTGGATAGTAAATAAAATGGCTATATTTGTGTTATAGACCCCTGGTTCCATTCACCACCACTGTAAAGAAATCTGAGTCATACACAGAACCCAATTCTGACTTTTTCTAGAACGGTGCATTTCACTCCAAACCCACTGAATGACTTTGTTTACGTCTTAATGACTGAGTTATGCAGAAATTCCTCTTTAATCTGTATGGGTCAATCAGAAGGTGAAAGTGAAACAACTCCTAGACTCCTTGAACATGGAGAAGATGAACTAAATTCTAAATCAATTTAGGATTAGGATTAGGATTAGGGTTAATGTTCAGAATATCAGTAACCAATCAAACTTCACCCAGACACAAGTGGGTGGGTCTGAATTGGGTACTCTGTATGCTCGATGTCCAAGAAAAGTGTGTATCTCCAAAATGCCAACTTTACACACACACATCTTCTAAGCCGCTTCTCCTTCTGGGTCGCGGGGGTGCTGGAGCCTATCCCAGCTGTCATCGGGCAGAAGGCAGGATGCACCCTGGACAGGTTGCCAGTCCATCGCAGGGCAGACAGACATACAGACAGACAGACAGACAGACATACACAGTGCTAACTTTACAGAAGAAGTCAAAAATGGTCTTAACTTTTAAACTCTTAAAATTCTTATTACATACTAAGACTTATTATTCAGTAATACAGGGACTCCAATGCAAACTGGCAGAGCTATTCTTAGTTCATAGAAGTGTGTAATAAAACTTCGGGCCCTGGCTATGTAGGGGCTGATGTAAGTTAATGAGTGCGTTTACATGCACTTAATAATCTGATAACTGCAGAAAATCAGATTTTGTCAGTAATCCGATCAACACATTTACATGCTCTTGAGTAATCAGATAATAGGGAAACTCCAGGTCTACATGAGTCAGACAGTAATCAGATTTCTGCTTTGCAACCAGCCAATAAACTCACAGAACAAGACGTGACGTAAACGTAACGTAAAATTTTAACTTCATTCTGCGGCTTTTTTTTTACATTTCGCCACTTTACCTGAAACTATGAACATACATCGTCTAGAAGATGAAGAATATTTAAATCCTTCGTTTCGTGTTTGGTTCCAGCGCTCTTCCAGAAGTGTTTTGCTGCATATCGTGGCAACCCTGCTCGCTTATTTCCGGTACCACCGTCTGTTTCGCACATGCACAGACTGAGAAATCTGAAAGAAATCAGAGTAAGAGTTCACATGCACTGAGAAATCTGATTACTGAGCTAAAATCCAGCCTCTTTATCAGATTCCTTAATCTGTTTTCTTGATTGGAGTATGGTGTTTACATGACTATTTGAATAATCAGATAACTGCAGAAATCCGATTATGATCGGATTGTTGAGTGCATGTAAATGCACTCAATGTAAAGAGATTTTATTCCAAGTCATTTTGGAGCATTTCTATTGGTCCATTCATCATGAACGTTTCACACAGTGTAAAGACAAGCTGCTGTGTTCAAATGATGAGGAAAAATAAAAATACAAATAAAAAATATTTTTTTTAGATTGTTCTAAATTTCCTGCTGAATTCCATTCAGGATAGAAGTCTATACTCTGCAACTCTTCCCATCAGTTCATGACACCAGTATATCTGTATGCCACAGAGATGCCATGTCACTGTGGCGGTGTCTGAGCTCTTAAACTGAGTAGATTCTACGGGTCCTGAACTCTTTGTTTACTGGTATTTGTGTTATTTTTGCTCTCTCGCTGTAGAACCTATGTAACCCTGGTTCCCATATCTTTTTTTCTTACTGTGGTTCCCAAATGCATGGACTCTGACCAAATATGGTCACTAACAGACTGCTGAGAAACATGGCTTGTTGTGGTCTATTCTAAGCTGGCCTGATTTACTGGCCCGTTGGCTGTAATGTGCATCACTGTTTAAAAGCTTGGAATCACTTGGACTATTAAGAATGTTAATTTTTTTCGGTAATAACTTTCACAATGAAGATTAAAGTATTATAAACCAGACACTTAGATATTATAAACTAGAGACCAGATTTTTAAAAAATGTTTAGGTTTATATTTCAGTTTTTTTTGAGGAGTTATTAAATGATACATAATATTCTGTAATTAAATTATTTGAAGTCAAGTTACCTTACTTGATGTCTGATCACCACTTTTTAAACACGAGGCATTCTGGATATTAATTTTTAGAACTTAATTCTGAATATTAATTTATCAGAACTTAATTCTGAATATTGATTTGATTAATAATTCATTCTTATTGTGTTTTTTCACTCTGTATAGTAATTGAATATAATTTAATTTGGATATTAATCTGATTTTATTTTCATTGTAAATATTAATTTGATTATTACTTCATTCTGGGTATTTATTTTATTCTTTTTTATTCACAATATTTATTTGATTATGATTTTGTTCTGGATATGTCTGTTATTTCTTTATTTGTGTATATTGATTTGAATATATATTCATTCTGAATATTCATTTGATTAGTAATTCATTCTTTGTATTAATTGTATTATTTAATTCTGAATAATAATTTGAATATATTTTTATTTGGATATTATATTTTCATTCTGAATACTAATTTGACTATATAACATTTATACCGTTTATGTTTGATAATTTGACTGTCACTTTATTCTGGGTATTAATTTCATTATGTTTTCATTCTTTATATTAATTTGATTAGCTCAGCTCATTATCATTCTGAACCGGCCAGCATGATATTACAATAATTTTATACACATATTAGCATATGCAAATTGATTTTAAAATCAATAAAACTGTTCATTCAAACTTTTGAACGGTCGTGTTCATTTATGATTCCTCTGTTTCTCTCAGTGGTTAAGATAGATGGAGGCCTGCCGTTGACGTTGTCCTTGCACACGCGTGAGGAGGTGGAGAAACTGCTCAGCCACGGCTGCGACAGCGACGGACCGGGGGCCATGGAGGAAACCGACTGGTGCAGTCTGGCTGGGCTGCTGGGATACGAAGAGGAGCGCATCGCCTCCTTCAGGCAGGAGGAAAGACCCATCCAGGCCCTGCTGTCCGACTGGGCGAGTCAGGATACGGCCAGCGTGGACACGCTGTGCACGGCGCTTAGGAAGATCAACCGAGAAGATATCGCTCAGAGCATCATGCTGAAGCCCACCGCCACATCTACTGTATGAGGGAGAGGCGCACACACACACACACACACACACACACACACACACACACACACACACACACTTATACTGCTAAAAGCCATATCCACTGCTCCAAAACACAGCCATAGCCTCATACCCTGATGTGTACTGCGGTATACAGCCCATCATGCTAACTCGCTAAAGTGTTAATTCCATGTGCCACAAGCCTCTTAAACCTGAACCAAGGCTGGACTTTTTGAAATTACGTCAGTATTTGCCACTTTTGTTTGCATGTGCCATTAGTTTTGACCCAACAAACCAACAATGTCACGTTAGCTAACCCATTAACCCCCTCAGGTTTGGTCCTGGAGGCCCACAGTCCAGCAAACTTGGGTGTTTTTTTCGCTCTGTCACCTGGTAATTAAATAAAGGTGTAACAGCACAAGATATCATATCATATTGCTTGAGACGAGGGTCTTGGTTTGGTGTGAGTCAAACAGTACTTTCAACAGAGTGGAGCAAGCAATGTACTAGTCTGCTCTTGAGAGGCTCAACCGTCTAATCTTTGTCCTTATCGCCAGGAGATCACAAATTCAATCCCCGGCGTTGCCACAGCCACCCATAGCTGGCAGTACAAGGGAGCATGATTGCCCTTGATCTCCTCCATCACTCAGTGCGATGCTAGCCATCTGTAGGCATCTGTTAGCTGACATAACAGTTCCAAATGTGCTGAGCTGCCCAGTGAGTGCATGCTAGCCTTCACCCTCCCAACTTGCATCGTGAAGCAACTAGCAGGTGGAATCAGCCATAATTACATTGGGCGAAAATAAAAATGAAAAAATAAAGTCCATAAAAATACTCAAGTACTCATTTTAATACTGCGTACACATGTTGGCTTCACCTCAGAATCAAACACAAGGGAAGAAAAGCACACTGTTTGTAATCTGGGTAGTTTGGGTCAGGGATAACACGTTAGCTAGCCTGTTTGTTTAGGTGTAACACATTAGACTGCAGCTAGCATGTCAGCCTGGGTAGTGCATTAGCCATGAGCAGAGCTAATATATTACACTGTATTCAAGTGGTGTCTGAAACTTGGAAGGTTTTCCTAATTTTCCCTTAAATGGTTAACAAAGCTCTATTTACAAGTGGGAAACTTCTGTGTGATCTGTGTGTGTTTATATATAGCAAAGAAAAAGCAGGATGTGCATTTTCTGGACCCCCATGCTTTAATTTTCTGTGTGGTGGGCTCCAACAAGCACCAGGCAGAGTGACACTGTATTTACTAGCTAAACATCTGATATATACAGTCTTCCGATGAGCACCAGAATGCAGCATTAGATTGTAGCCAGCGCTTTAGCTTAGCGCTTGTGCATTAGCTTGGCACTAGTGCGTTAGCTCATGGCTAACTTATTAGATTGTTGTCAGCGCATTAGCTTGGGGCTAGTGTGTTAGGTAATGGGTAGCGTTTTAGCTCATTGCTAGTGCATTAAATCATGGTTAGTGTCAGCTTATGACTAATGTGTTAGCTCAGGGCTAGCGTGTTAGCTCAGGGCTAGCGTGTTAGCTCAGAGCTAGTGCATTAAATCATGGTTAGTGTTAGCTTGTGACTGTGTTAGCTCAGGGCTAGTGCATTAGCTCACAGTGGCAATAGCAGAATCATTTCTCTGCCTTCTCATTTAGTGGAACTAGAAGAAAACAGTACAGCTCAGGATTGTGTTGTTAAGCTAATATGACATTTCATATTTTTCCCTGTTTTGTTTTTTCTATCACACCACACCACGCCTGATTTCATTTCATTACATTACATTAAAAAAGTACAGCACTAGTTTAGTGTTCATGCTGCTAGAATACCAGTTTGAATGGATCAAATTCCACTTGTGCCATTCTAAAATCTCAAACAGTGCACTTTTATAGTGTTGGTTGCTCTAATACTGCCATATTAACAATACCATATTTAGAGCACATTTCTAGGCACCTATTATTTCTGTGGTATTGATGTGCTGAATCAAGGCACCGCCATATCAAACCAAATTAAAAATGTCGTGAATCAAGCTGGAAATTCATCAAACTGCTCTTGACTCTGGACCCTCCAGGCCTGAAACTGAGGATCTTTCATTTCTGTCTCCTGCTTATTGACAGCACAAACCTGCATTACCCAGTAACTCATTTCCATACAGCATATAAATGTTCATTACCATCTCCAGTACAGTATTTAACCCATCGACACTCTGCTCATCCCAAAGAGCTTACATGTCAGTTTGTGGCAAAGCTTGACGCTTCTCAGACAGCTTTGTGGTCAAAAACAGTCTTCTCTTTCAGTAACTCTTCGTCATCCATCATAATCGTTCTCTCCAGTGTACAAGCTTGTGTTACTCTGTCTTCTCACGGAAGATTCTGAGGGTTGTATATTCTGTAAAATATACCGTAGAGATGCAAATGGTTATTAGATGACATTGCCTGGAGGCTAAGAGACTGGCCCCACAGCTATGAAGCTATGATGAACTTCACGGGAGAAGCTCTAAACTCTAGGAGAGAGACTCTGTAGAGGGAGAGTGTGTGAAGGAGGAAAAGAGAGAGAATCGCATGTGTGATAATGCTAATAGGTTTATATCCCTTTGGTACGTTGCCATGCTAATGCCTTCATTATCCACAACCAAAACCACAACATCTACATCGCATCACCACAGCTGCGAATATTATCTTTATCAATATTAGTCTGTACCCCTTAATTGCATTCATTTTGAAAAACACATGATTTTATTTTAATGATTTTTCTTATTGACAATAGCATAATTAGTAGAAACATTAAAGAAAAGGTAAAACATTATTTTGGGGGTATTTTGCATTTTGTTGCCATATGGCAACAGCATGTGGCAGTGCAGCAAGCTGCAATGTATATAATGGGAGGAAACCAGTTCACTGCCAATAGACAAATTCATCATCCACGAAAAAACTGCATTACAGCCACAAATGTTGAAAGAATGCAGGACGGAATATATAAATTTGTGATGCAAAACCAAAAATCTGAACCAGAAATTCAGGACACAAGCTGTTTGTTGTATTCTGAGTGTTGAGGGAAATGTTGTGAACAAGCCTGTAGTGGAGAAGCTCTTGTGTGTTGTATCTTCTCATGATATTTGACATGAAGAGATTATTAATCAGAAATTTTAATTCTTATAAATTATTTAAAAATGATAAATAATTTATAATAACCATAAATTATAGATTATAAATCGCATGTCTAATGTTCTTTGTAGAAACCGTGAAATAAGGAAGGTAGCAGACATTTCCACCGCTCAAAATGTTTACGCGCATCTGCGCTAAAGAAAAACAAATTTTTAAAAATTACTATTTGTATTTTTTATTAGCGTCCAAATTATTCGCCTTTGATTCAGACAACCTGGCCTTTTACGTTTTTGGCTGTTTTTCCTTTTTTGACAGTTTTCACTTGAACAATTTTAGTGGCAGAAATTTCGGTACAACCCTAATAAAAATAATTATTCTGATAAAACCATCAACTTCAAATGTAAAAATTAAGGTTAAAATAGCAGTTTACAGTGGAAGTGTATTCATTCTCTCCCATTATATGCTGTTGCCATATGGTAACAATTATATTTTAGCCTTTTATATAAAACCCATGAATTCTGAACTGGTTTTATTTTTGAAAAAGAAATTGTCACCTCCCACAGATTGTACTTAATTTTTGTTTCTTAAACTTTGGAGGGAGGAGAGAGGGCTTCAGAGGCCTGGCCTCACCATGTCATGTGTTTATGGAAAGTACAAACTGTGATAAGAAGGCATTTGATTAAATACCATTTTTTTATGGGCAAAAAAAAAAGGTCACTGTTGCCATATGGCAACGCTATGCAGTAAAGGGTTAATGTTTTGTCAACTTTCTGTAATATTGGTTTGTTTTGTCCACACCTGATAGATGTGAAGCGTGGAAAATTCTCGGAAAGGCTTTTACTGTCCTGGTGGTCCATCTGAAATCTGAGAAGCGTTTTTTTTTTTCTTCTTGTTTTTAACAGGAAGGTAAAATGATACTGGTCACTACCTGCCCAGGGTCATCACCATGACAAAAGAGCTTGGTCATGGAGTCTGTGCCCTAGATAGAGAGTGACACACATACACCAAAGAAACAAGCTACCCACACACAAAGTGAACTGGCGTCACATACGTCCAATTCAGGTTAATTTAAAGTGACTTAAATGAGCTTAGGAAACAAGACACCGCCTAACAGCCAAATGACACAATATGGAATGAATCACGCCGTATTCCTCCTCCATCCCATGAAATAAAGTGGCTGAAATGGGGAGGAGAAGGAAAAGGCCCGTAAAAGGGTAACATGAACAATTCTTGACAGGTTAATGACGATACGTGTATAATTTCTCAGGGGTTATTTTATATGTGACACTGTCCATCTCCAAAGGTCACTCTCCAAAGGTTACACATGTCGTACAACAGAGGCCTTATTAAGTACGGTGGTTTGAAGGAAGCATTAGTTGAACTAAAACCAGAAAAAAGACATTTTACCTCAGATGGGGTTCACATTGTATGTGTCTTCAATGGGACAGATGCGATTTGCTGCTTTTCATGCTGACCACCTCACATTTAAGCTTCAAATAGTTTCGTGTTTTCTCAGCACTGACCCGTCAGATCAAAGCTAAGACAGGCTTTCAGTGACAGCTGTAACGGAGGAGGGATTTTAGTGTTTCAGTCGTGTACTGAAAGAAATTATCATGACATGAACCAAAAAAGGTGCTTTTAGCTTGTTTTCGCTAGCAGCACCAGGCTAGTTAATAGTAGTCAGAGCCATTACATGATTAAGTTTCATGATGCAGACCAGCCCACCCCAAACTCCCACTGTATTTCCCCTGAGGAAACAAAAGGAAGGTGGAGAAGTTGCTAGCCAATTGAACTTAGCTTGCTTTTTACAGGCTAACAGCTAGCTTAGCCGAGAAAAGCTACTTAACCGCTGTGTTCAAATTAAGTTAGCTAACCGCTGTTTCTAAAATCTGGGCACCTTATCATTTCCTACTCTTATTTATTTGCTATTATAAGATAACTAAGTTAGCCAGCTAATTAGCAAACTAATGCTAGCTGGCTGAGGTCCTGTCAGCATTTCCCATCGTCAACCTGCTTGGATACATGTGATATTTCAGCACTTCACTGCGTCCTCAGGCTTTTTCTTCATGACCTCTGGGCACCACATTGTTTTCTTCTGTTTTTTTCACACTGCTATCTTCGTATGATTTGCGTATGAAAACCGCTACATTGCTAAGTGATATGCTAATCAGCTCCAGAACAAATTTAAATAAGCTAAGCTCTACCGACTCTACTAGACTCAGACTGACCAGTTATAGTCAGCAAACTTAGAAGGCCACTGATTTAACCCCTAAATTATTACAAATGTAATCTTGGTTGTAATGTTTACAGTCTTTTATTGTGTCATACATGGGTTTATACACCGGTCAGCCGTAACAATAAAACCACCTCCTTGTTTCTACACTCATTGTCCATTTTTATCAGCTCCACTTACTATATAGGAGCACTTTGTAGTTCTACAGTTACAGACTGTAGTCCATCTGTTTCTCTGCATACTTTGTTACCCTGTTCTTCAGTGGTCAGGACCCCCATGGACCCTCACAGAGCAGGTCCTATTTGGGTGGTGGATCATTCTCAGCACTGCAGTAACACTGACGTGGTGGTGGTGTGTTAGTGTGTGTTGTGTTGGTACGAGTGGATCAGACACAGCAGTGCTGCTGGAGTTTTGAACACTGTGTCCACTCACTGTCCACTCTATTAGACACTCCTACCTTGTCAGTCCACCCTGGAGATGTAAAGTCAGAGACTGCTGTATCTGATCCACTCGCACCAGCACAACCCACTAACACACCACCACCACGTCAGTGTCACTGCAGTGCTGAGAATGATCCACCACCCAAATAGTACCTACTGGTCCTATGGGGGTCCTGACCATTGAAGAACAGGGTATGCGGAGAAACAGACGAACTACAGTCAAGGATACAGAACTACGAAGTGCTCCTTTATGATGTGTGGCGTGTCCATGTGAGTCCACAGTTACCCTCCCACCAGGATTTCTCCTGACTCTCCTGATTACCCACTCCCAGCGTTAATAGCGGACCACCATCTAAAAGGGCAATAACTTGCTAGCACAGCTGATTCACAGTTATGGTGCTTTTCTTGCGTAGCAGTAGCCAGAAGCAGTATTGAAAAAACACTAGGGCTCCATCTAAATAGCTGAATAAGGCCTTCTTTCCTGTCTGCCTTCCTTAATTTTGCCTGATCTGGCAACCATGTAGCTCCATCTGCTAATGTATTCAGTGAGGCCATGGGCTACAGTTCAGGTAAAACCAAGGCAAGTAGATAGGAAAGGAAATTTCATTCAACTGTTCGGACGCAGCCAGTGTGAACCCCAAAGAAAAAAAGACCACGTAGTGCAACTTTCAGAAAAATAACAGTGTGAACCCCCATCAGTCCTTTTCCCTGCTGAATAGGAAGAACATGGACGGAGGCCAATATCAGGGGTCAGCGTATGCTTCTCTTATTGTGTAGCATGTTGATAGTGCCCCAGCGAGTGGTGAAAGCTGTATGAAGACTATGCCAATTATTAACTGCTGAAGTGACACGACTAAATTGACTTACACTCTTCTGTTTTAATCACTAGTTCTTCTCATGTTACTTTTCAAATCACCAATGCTGTTCGGTCGCAAAACTGCCAGTGTTATTGGGATCATCTCAGTAAGAATTAAATACTGCTAAGTTTACCGTGGTGTTTTAGAGTAGCCATACCATGCGGTATATAAATAAAACTCATGCGTACATTAATTGCCAACTATGTTTCAGCTTTAAAAAGGAGAATTCTTAAAATTTTCAAAAAAATGTCATGACTGAGATGCAAACAAAGTCCTTCAGAGTTGTTTTAGGTAAAATGGTACATTGTAGAGAAACAGTGGTGATGAGTCAAACTAGGGATCACAATGTCTACAGCACAAATGTGGCCAATCTATGGGTACACTCTCAGAAAAAAGGTACTAAACTGTCACTGGGGCAGTGCCCCTCTTGTCACTGGGGTGGGACTCTCAAGGGTACGTCTCAGTACCTTTAGTCAGGGAACATATTTGTACCATAATCCATTATAATTATATTTTCTAGGTTATGTTGACTCCACACACCCCGTCTCGTCTCCAGGCTTTTTATTTTATTGTTCTGTTTTAAAACATTCGGTTATGAAAAGGTACAAATATTAACTTTTCACCTGGAAAAACTTTAAGGTACATAATTGGACCTTAAAACCGCTGTTGTACCTTTTTCTCTGGGGACTATTTTTGCCTTACGCCTCTCCCCCATTAATGGGTTTAAAAACATATGTTTTAGACCAGGCATGTCAAATTGGGGACCTTGCGGGCCAAAATGCTGCGGAGATTGTTGGGTACCCTCATCCAAAGCCCTGAATTCAGTTCATGAAAGCCTTGCTAATTAGCCGATAAGCTGAATTGGGTGTGTTTAATGAGGTAGTGTGCTGAAGTCTGCAGTGTTTCGGCCCGCAAGGACTGGAGCCTGACGCATCACTCTCAAAACTATCATAAAACGAAGTCTTGTTCATCAGGCAAGGTCTTCTTAATCATTTCATGTAATAACTTTCTGTAAAGAAGCTTTCAGAGATGGATGTCTGGTTCCTATCACCACCACTGTGAATTATGTGGAGTGTGTAAGTTTCTCTAAAACAGAGCATTTCACACCAAACCACTCTGAATGACTCGGTTTACATCTCAACCGTTTAATTATGCCCAAATTTCGCAAAATTCCCTTTTAATCCTAAGGTAAAGCCAGGTTTCACTGAGGCACTGTGACATTATTCGTTTCATTGTTGCGTTTGACTGATTCTCTTGACCGTAATGTTGGGATATGCAAACACTCTGTATAGTATCTAGTTTGTAATGAAGGTGTTTTTCCCTTTCTGTAAGAGGGGGGTTTGTAATTTTCTTATTAAGAAGTGACATTATGTTGGATATTGTTTCTTTTTTTTTTACCAGATTAGACTGTAGCACTTAGAAGTGTAAATATGTATTCAGTATCACAAGTGCCTGAGAGAATGTCAGGTCTATGTTGTTCCACTCATTCTGTTCGCCTTGTGTGTTTGTTTTGTTAATAATTTGTTCGTTTTCCATGTTACTGTTAAGGCATGTACTCTTAAGTGTAACTGGTCAGTGCTAACGTTGTAATCAGTCCCCAACCTTTGGACAGTCTGCCATATCTTTTCACTGAGCTCAAAAAAAGGCTAATATTTGTTTTGTGTTTTCATTTTTTGTCACTGTTAGACGTGGCCGCTTCAGTTCTCTACAAAAGGGCACACTGCTTTCTGACAATCATTCGAAGGTCTGTATGCAGATGTTCTGCATGGATACGTGTGATAAGGTACAATAGGAGTAAGGTGCAAAGTGATGGGTGGGCCAAGCTGAAGAAACGGTGATTTTGAATCTTGCACTCAACAGAAGTAGCATGATTGGAAAGCGAGGGATGGACAGATCATGAAAGAAGTGGAGAGATTGATAGGAGTGCGTTGGTTTGAGGGTGTTATCTCGGGACAGTTCTAAAAAAAGGAAAAACAATGTACAAACTGAAAACATGTGAATGTTCCTTGTATTTACTAATATGTACACTGTATCATATTAATGTGAATTTGCTAGAATTCATCTGGTTCAATGCAGTTAAACAATTAAAAACAAGAAAATGAATAAACAGATTCAGATTGCAACACTGTGTGCGTAAAGATTCCTTTTTGGGGGCAGTCATGGGCTCGATCCCCGTGCCCTTGAGTAAGGCCTACCTAACCCCCAACTGCTCCCCGAGCGCTGTGGATAGGGCTGCTCACCGCTCCGGCAAGTGTGCTCACTGCCCCCTAGTGTGTGTGTTCACTAGTGTGTATGTGGTGTTTCACTGCACAGATGGGTCAAATGCAGGGTGAAATTTCCCCTTTGTGGGACTAATAAAGGTCACTTAACTTTTTTTAGAAATAAGAATAAGCCTCTGACGTTATTCAGCAGAAAATATTTGCCAGAAGCCTCAAAAACTAAAACATTTGTCACGTGTGGTGAGTAATGAGGCTGGATGTAAGCGTGAGCCAACTTTAATAAACAAAACAAAGTAGTAGAAACACTGAGTACAGAAAAACAAACTACAAGGTTTTAAACAAAGAAACACATTGAGCAAACTAAACACAGGGCACAGAACCACAACATGTAACAAGTGTAGAGCAGAAAACCAAGGCCTGAAACTGAAGCCTTGATATAGGCTACAAACAATAGGGAACACCTGGAAGAGGAGACAGAGACTACAAACGGGTGAGAATCCCTAATAAGGAAGGCAGGACAAAGGCGGAACAAAGGAATCAAAACAAAAGCACATGGCGACAACACAGGGGAAGAAACAGGCACACTCAGGGGGACAATGGGAAACCATGACAAATATTTTCAGGATTTAGTGTGTTTTGCCTTTTAGGAATTCTCCTGAAAAGAAGGGAAGCAAGCATTCACTTTCAGTTTTTCAAAGGAAATCTGTAGGGATATTTTTCCACATCCAAAGGTCAGTCTCGGAAGTTGGTTTAGCGTATTTGGCTTCTCACAATCCCAGCAATCCCAAACACATTCAGTAGCCATGTTTACATGCAGCCTAATAATCTGTTAATAATCCGACTAATAGCTCAATCGGAATAGAATACATCCATGTAAATCCGATTGAACGAGGTGGGTAATTCTATAAATAATCTGTTAAATAGAAGAATAATATCCGTGTAAACGCCTGTATCTGATTACATTCCCTATCGGAAAGTTTAAGCCCGTTCTGATCATGTTCGTCGCGTCATAGTGAAAGTTTATACCGTTCAACAAGGCGGAGCAGAAACTGGTCTGCAGAGGAGACGAAGTTTATGCTCTGATCTTTAAAAGACGGCGGTGGGACGGACGTCCAGCTTATGTGTCTCAGAACACGACGCCTTCCTCTCGGCCTTCTTTAATAAGGACATGTGAAGGACGTTTTCCTGAGTCTGACATCATTTTAAAGCAATTAAAAACACAAGCACTGCTCACTGCTGCTCATCTCACTCTGACTGGACTCATGTGATGCTGGTTGTCATGGTAACGTCTACACTAAGTGGTTCTCTACGCATGCGTGTCATTCTGGATCAGATTACTTGTAGTGAGCATGTAAACAGATATTTCCATCAGATTGTTGAGTAGAGTGAGAATAAACACCTCAGTCTGAATCTATAATTGGAATGTATTCAATCAGATTGGCAAAAAATCTTTGCATGTAAACACAGACAGTGATGTTGAATCACACCCAGAGTTGATCAACATACACTGGATTCACGCTGAATGTACTGAGGGCACAACTGTCTGATCTGACTGATAAGTCTGAGACAAAGTGGCAGAAATATGACGTTCATACAATACATGACAATCAACTGACTTGTTCAAGGCTCATTCATTTGGGAGGCGGAGTCGGAAGCCATCAATCACAGAGGAACACACAGGAACAAGGACCTGTTAGTTTACGCATTGAGATCATTC